TACAATTCTGATTTATAACAACAAATTTATTGTCTATATATTTCTTTCAATTTTCATTCATTTTACACCTGTTCTTAACCCAATTGTTTGTATAATAACTAATAAGCCATACAAAGAAGCTGTTTTAAATCGTTTAAGAATACATCCACAATAATTTTTGTATTTTATTTTAAGAAGACTGTTAATGCTTAATATAATCAGAATTATTTAAAAGAAGCTAAATGAAAATTTTGATAAAAATTGTGACAATATTTATTGTAAATTTTTTGTAATTATCCCTTTTTTCTGTCTTATATTGTATCTTGGCTCTATGAAGTACTTTTTAAGTAAACAAAATTATTTTATGTTAAGATATCTCACGATTTTTATTAAAAAATTTTTTCTCGAAAAATTGTATTTTTAAAAGTTATTTGTGTGAAACATTATTAATTAAAAATTTTACATTAATTTTACTTTAGTTTCACTATAAAATCTTTAAAAATTAAATAAAAGAATGTCCAATTTAACCGATATTTTAAGTATTTAAATTTTCGGGGTTGCGTTGCTACCCTAATAATGTATTTAACCCTTTATATTTATGTTTGTTATTGAAAAGTGTTTTTCAAGTACACCAAGACTGTCGTCAATGTAATAATATCTCACGAATTTAATTAAAATAAAAAAAATTTTCTCAAAAATGTTTTTTTGTATTTTTAAAATAAATATTATTAATGTAAATATTTACATATATTTTAATAAAAAATTTTGTTAAAAAATATTTTGTGTGTGAAACTTTTTAATAAAAATTTTTAAATTAATTTTACTTTACTTTTTTAACTTAAAATATGTCCAATTTACTTGATATTTTATTTAAATTTGATTATTTTGTTTGTTTATTACTTGGTTATCCTCTAAACATTATTCTGATTATTTTAATTATTTTTAAAACACCAAAAGAAATGGAAACACACAGCAGAATTCTGATACAAAATTGTGTTTTGGATATTTTAGGGTTGACATTTCAAATGTTTGTTCAAATGGTAAAATCTTTAAAAACCCAGGATTAAATTTTACCTAAATTATCCTTATCTAATTTTCCGGTTCCTAACCGGAACCGGAATTTTGTGAAAGAATTTTTAATAAAAATTTCTAATGTAAATCATTCAGTCTTCTTCACGTTCTTTTGGTCTAGATTCCTCCCAACGTAGAAAAGACACGTTCCGAACAGAAACCGTAACGACGATTTTTTTCGGTGGGGGGTCAAGGGGAAATTTATTTAATCCTATTGATTAGAGCGCGGACTTTCGTACCGTACCGTATTCCGTACCGTAATTCCGGAAATTACTGATACCGATAATTACCGATAAAATACATACAAGGAAACCAGAATTGACTAAAATCTAAATTTAAAAACATCAAATCAAATCAAATCAAATTTATACGCAACAGCGCGACGATTTCAGACAATAAAAATGTGATAAATAAATGAAATAAACGTAAACAAACGATTTCCTTAACATAATTTAAAAATTGCAAAAGTGTCTTTTAAGGTGATTTGGGAGTGAGTCAATAAATTGGGATATATCAAAAGTGACTAGGAGTCGACTAAAGTGTTCGGGGATTGAATTGCGCATATGTTGAGGAATAAATTTATATAACCGAGCAGTCCTAACGAAAAAGGAGTGGAATCTGGCTTTTGTATTACATGCTATAGTTATAATGTTTTGGAACCCCCTGGTATTGGCTTTACTGATAAAATATGAGTTATTGTTTTTGATTGTTATAGTCCCACAAACATGTTGATGGAATAAATTGAGATCGGCTTTAATACGTCTATAAAATAGCGATTCTTGTTTAAAATAATATAGTAAATCATGATATTCAGGTAATTCGGTTTTAGGATTAATACGTCTAAAAACCCAGCGGAGAAAATCCTTTTGGACTTTTTCAATTGATTTAATATCTTTATCAAGATGTGGATTAAAGACAGACGAGGAGAATTCTAAAATAGGACGGACATAAATATTAAATAGGTTTGTAAGGATTTTTGGATTCCTACTTTTAATAGATTTGAAAATGGAAAATGAGCATCTGATTGCTTTACGAGTGATTATATTGATATGCTTATCCCATTTGAGATCGTGAGAGAAATGTATGCCCAGGTCCCGGACTGAATCCTCTGAAGAAATCTGATGGATGACAATGTCATTAATAAAATATTTAGTTGATGGGTTAGAGTTTCCTAAATATAAGACTGAACATTTTTCTATGGCAATTTTAAGGCCGTTAAGATGGCAATACTCTGAGAATTTATTTACAAAAATTTGGAGAGGAGACTCATTAACTCTATTTTTAAAAATATTATAAGCTTTGAGGTCGTCAGCAAAAAGTTTCAGAGTTATTCCTGGTGTGGCACAATACGTTGGGAGATCAGATATAAAAGTAATGAATAGTAGCGGCCCTAGTATGGATCCTTGAGGTACACCGCTGGTGCAGTGTTTTTCCTCGGAATAATGATTAGATACCCGCACAGTAAATGTACGATTTGATAAATAATCATTTATCCAGGAAAGAATATTTCCTTGGATTCCCATTTTATAAAGTTTTGAGAGTAGAAGTGAATGAGGAACCGTGTCAAAGGCCTTAGCTAAATCAAAATAAATTGTATCAATGGAATTTTTATTCTCCAAGGCATAAGTGAAGTCATCCATTACTTCGAGTAATTGTGTTGAGACTGAGTGAGATTTACGAAAACCATGCTGACATGGAGGCAAAATTTTATTGGATTCAATAAATGATTGAAGCTCATTTGCGATTATTTTTTCAAGTATTTTTGACGAAGAGCAAAGAAGGGAAATTGGTCGAAAATCTATTGGATATTGCGGATTTGTTTTCTTTGGGATTGGATTAATAATAGCTTTTTTCCAAATTGATGGAATTTTGGAGCTAAGAATTGACAGTGAGAAAATATGAGTAAGAGGGATGACGAGTGTATCCCTGCATTTTTTGTAAAAAATGTTTGGAACACCATCAGGAGATGTGTTATTAGAGTTATCGAGCCTTGATATTATATCAAAGACTATTTGTGGGTCAATGGGTATTGTTTGTATTGTTTGTATTGGGGAATGGTTTGAGAAAGAAAAGGTTTGGGAAGAGAGGCTTTGATTGGAAAATACAGAAGAGAATTGATCGGCCAAAATATTTGATTTAATTTGGTTTGAGAAAATGTGTTGATTATTTTGGCCGATAAGAGAGGGCATGGTTAAATTTTTAGGTTTTATGAAAGATGAAATATAATCAAACTTTGTTTTGATATTACTGAGTTTTTTGTTTTCCCTATTTCTTATAAATTTTGAAATTTCATATTCAAGTTTATTAGAGGTTTCTATGTATTTTTCCCTAATGCAAGGTTTGGAGATCCTTTTCCATAAATTTTTTCGATATTGGTCAAGTCGTTGAATATGAACAGGAAAATGATCAATAGAATGTGGTCCACTTGAGATGGGTACATATGATTGGATGATAGTGTGAAGAAATGTTATAAATTTGTTATAACATAATTCAACATCAATGCAATCATAAAAGAATAAAGTCCAATCAATATGGGCAAGAATACTATTAATGTATTGATAATTGGCTTTATTATATTGATATCTAGGGGCAGATTTAGATTGCAGTTGAAAATTAAGCTTAATATCGAAAATAATAGAATTATGGTCAGAACCCCCCATTGGAGCCTCGACAGAAAGAAATGATGTTAGAGATGTATTAGAAGTAAGAACTAGGTCAAGATAATTTTGATTCCTAGTAGGGGATTGGACAATTTGTTCAAGATTGCTTGACTGGAAAAATTCCGCAAATATAGATTCAGAAGGTGTTAATGTGTTTGGGAATGGATTCGGGCTTGCCCAATTAAGGTTTGGGAAGTTAAAGTCACCTAATATATAATACGGGTAATCGATAGATGAAAGAAGTATAAAAATCGATAGATGAAAGAAGTTTTTACTAACGGCAACATATAATGATAAAAATCAGAATTAAATTTAAACATTTATTTGTTAGTTTTATATAATTGATGGCAGTGGAAATTCCATCGTTATTTTTACTAACGGCATTTTTATTGAAATTATAAAAAATAATTTCAATAAGAGTATCTGCACAAGTTTTTTAATTATTGGGCTGTTTTTTTTCATGATAAATTTGCATGGATTGTGTGCCCAATTTGTTTATAGATATTTAATTCTGAACAGGTAAAACACAAAAATTTAAAAATCAAAAGTAACTAAGAACATTAATTTATAGAAACATGAAACCAAACTTTAAACGCTATTTTTATATATTTTCGACTATTTTAATTGTTGAATTATTGAATATTCTTTTTTTTATTTTCTTTGCCATACTTGATGGAAATGTTAAACAGTTTAACGAATTCAACACAACGTTACCATTTGTTATTATGAAATCATTGGTATCTACTTAAATTATACTTGTGGATTGGAAGCGGGACTGGGCCATTAGGGCGCGGGGCCATTAGGGCGCGAGCTTATAAAACAGTGAGTTGCTTATCAAAAAAGATAAAATTTTGCAATAATAACTCTCATGCCTTTATCTACGTTCTCCAAAAATTTCAGAATTTTTGATCAAGAATTTCGGAAATTGTGGCCAAAAATGTTGATTTTCCGAAAAAACCCTAATTTTTCGCACTTTATTGACTATAACTTCAGAAATATTCGATGAAAAATTCTGAAATTTCTGGAGGAGGTAGTCAATAATGTTAAAGAAATTTGAGAAAATTTTCATAAATTTCGGTTTCGCCTAAGTGTCAGTTTCTAGTGCTGGCGCCCTAATGGTCCCGCGCCCTTATGACCCCAACCCATGGAAGCCCGTTATAAATTCGAATTTATCGAGAGCTTCCAATCATTAAGTACGTTTCGTGTAGTAAAGTACGTTGCAGTTTTTGCCCTACATTGGATTTTTTCGTCCTTACTAGGGTTCGAACTTGGGATCCTAATACTTGGAGGATGACTACTCGAAACGTACTCTACTTCCAGTCACAATTATTTTTTAAACCAAAGGATGTGCCATCATTAATTATGACACTTCTTACAATACTTCCATTTGTTATAATTTTTGTTTGTGGGTTTAAAATGGTTCATTATGTTAATTCACATACTGGATATGATGAAAATATGAAGAGATTACTTAAACAATTGACAAAAACTTTGATAATTTTGGTGAAGTATTTAATTTTGAATAAAATTTATTTTAAATTTTAGGCAATTATTCCATTTATTAACCAATTATTAACTATATCAACAATGATCTTGATTTTAAATAATAAAACAAATGATTCATCCAAAGATTATGATATAAATCCATTCTATATGTTTCGTGCAATCTTCAATCATTTTACACCCGTTTTTAACCCAATTGTTTGTATATTAACTAATAAGCCATACAAAGAAGCTGTTTTTAATCGTCTACAAATACACCCACAATAAGGAATTTTGGTATTTGTATGTAATTCGGAGCGCCTCTAGTCCAAAATTCATTAATTCTTGATTGTTTTGTTCCTATCATTTTAAAAAATATCAACTAAATTGAACTTATTTTAAAAATTCTCCCAACATAACAACCTCTTACCTTAACAACCTCTTACTTTCTTGAAATTAAAATATTTCATAGTTAAATGTAGGGTAGCCCCCATACCTCGAAACCCCGATCTACGTTTCGATTCCGACGATTTTTTTGGCAAAAACACCGACCTGACAAACCCCGTTCCACGATGCAAACCCGACTTCGAAGGCTCGAGGTGCTACCCTAATTAAAAGCTTTCCTCAAAACATTTGTCAGTTAATTATTAACCCTTTTTAATATGTACATACGATTGTGTAAAATAAATAACCCTTTTTAATTAATCTGTTATGTCCGGGGTTATACGTTAAAACCTAAATTCTGCCTGAAACCAAAAAATATCCTTCGTAAAATATTTTATTGGGCAATTTTAAACAAGTTATAACTCTGTGGTACGCTGGAGCGTACCCGCCATTGGAGCAGTTAATCAAAAAACTTGATAATTTTTGGCCTCATGTAGGAGCCTAACTTTTTTGTCTGTAAATTAACAATTTACATTCATATGACAGGAAATAATTTTTTACATTATAACAATGAAACTTAGTTTAAGGATTAGCATAAAATAAATGATGGATTTTTTTATAAATTTTTTTTAAAAAGATTAAATAAAAATTTAAATTATTCAAATTTTGTTTGATTATGTATTTTATCTACATCCTTTTTGGATTATTTAAAATGTAAATTTAAATTTAACTGAATTTTTCAATGCTGAAATTAAAGGAGTTTGGGTTACCAAAAGTTTCCGAAAGGAAATTAATAATTGGATTTAAATATTTATACGAAAATTAGTTAATATTAACTTAAAAAAATTAGGTATATTTAATTGAATAAAAAATTAAATAAAATATCATTTTAAGTATAATAGTTAAAATAAATCTCCTTAATTGTTTAAAATACCTTAAATGCTCAAATAATTTCTCTCACTCAAATAATTACCCTCTCTCAAAGAATTACCCTCTCCCAAATAATTACCTCCTTCGGCGAGTGAAAGGCGGTACGACAATTGCGGATATGAAATTTTTAAAAAGTTTAAGATTTTTTAAAGTTTCCAGTGCCACATCTGTCTAAAAATGATTCGGAAAACGTCAGAAGTCTGAAGCTGACAGCCAAGACAAAAAACGGAATATCATTTCAATCATTTTTAAAATTTTTAAAAAATTTTTAATCCGCAATTGTCGCATCCGCACGTGCGTATCCGCAATTGTCGTAACACCGAGTGAAACAATGATTATCCCTTTAAAAAGTTATAAATTGGCCTTTTCAAAATAATCTCAAATAATTACTCCATGCAGCAAAGGGTTGAAACAAAGCTTACCCCCTTAAAATTGTTATAAATTACCCTTCTCGATTAAAATTACCCCTCTCGAATAACATTTTTTCCTTCAAAATCATAATTGAAGAAAGTATCCTCTCAGCAAAATGATGAACAAGATTACCCGGTGTAATTATTCGAGCATTTACGGTATTTTCCTAGAATTCATTGTGTTTACGCTGACTAAACTAGAATTTTTTGTATAAAATTTTTGATTTTTCTCAATTTTTTCCTTCAAAAACATAATTAATTAATTAATTAATTAATTAATTAATTAATTAATTAATTAATTAATTAATTAATTAATTAATTAATTAATTAATTAATTAATTAATTAATTAATTAATTAATTAATTAATTAATTAATTAATTAATTAATTAATTAATTAATTAATTAATTAATTAATTAATTAATTATGTTTTTGAAGGAAAATTAATTAATTAATTAATTAATTAATTAATTAATTAATTAATTAATTAATTAATTAATTAATTAATTAATTAATTAATTAATTAATTAATTAATTAATTAATTAATTAATTAATTAATTAATTAATTAATTAATTAATTAATTAATTAATTAATTAATTATTTCAGGCAAATCCTTAAAACTTGGAAATAAAAAATGATTACCCTCTCATTCGTTTCACTTTTCTATCTTTCCCTTCCGGCCCTAATCGCTGGCCAATGTTCTAGTGATTGGCAAACAAATGTAGGTAGTGATGGGTTTACTTATGGATATAAGGCTATTGTTTCCGATATGGTCAACTTTTTTGAGGTTGGAGGGAATATTCTCTTTAGAATTTAAATCGGTACTTAGGCACACGACGTCTGCGCGGCCCTAGGCGCACAAGTAGCCAGTATCCACAGTGCTCAGGAAAATGCCTTTGTGATATCTGTCGCTTCCTCGCTTCTCGACCAATGTGAAAACAACAACACTGTCTGTAAACAGCGTGTTGATCGTTCAACTACCAGCTCTCTACGGCTTGACAGATTACTACGTTCATTCTGGATTGGAATGCATCGAGTTCAATACGCTCCTTTCTACAATACTTCAGTTGATTGTTGCTGGTCAGATGGAACACAATGTGATTATGGTAGATTTGACGGCGTTGCAGATCCGAATCAATCTATATTACCATGGTCAACAGGGAACCCTTCAGGATCGTCTAGTTCAATTACTTCAGCTGGATGTATGACAATTTAGTTTTGAGGAGTTCGGGCTTTTGGATTTACCCTAAAATTTTTAGGACAATCGGGGGTTGTGTTTAAGCTCACAACCACGGCTTTTTTTATATAAAATAAAAAAATTTAATTTTAAAAAATTAGGGAATGTCGAGGATTGCGTTGAAATAACAAACGACAATGGCGTATTGTGGAATGACATTGGATGCTACCACAAACTAGGTGGTGTCGTTTGCAAAAAGAATTGTACAAACACATGCCCACCAGTTACAACTCAAGCTCCGGCAGTTACTTCAAAACCCATTACAACAATACCAGTAGTAACGACAACCACCGACGATGATACTGGCGGATATATCTGCGGTTCAGATGATTGGCAGTGGAGGAACAATGGGAATGGAAAGGCCTATGCCTACAAGTGGTTAAACCAAAGCGGAAGCTTTTGGCAGGTAATTTGTCCTCCTACCCTATGCCATCTCGATGATATCGATTTTAGCTTCACGATCTCTGTTATGACTCTTGTGCGACTCCTTGCTCTATTGAATCAGAAGAAGAGAATCAACACATTGTTAATAATGTTTGTGCTGGAGCCTTTTCGAGCTCGTCTAGTGGAAGGAAAAAGCGAGCTACTGACTCTAAATGCATATATACGGGCTTCCATAGGTACCAAGAAAGTCCACCAAATGGTCCGATTGGATGCAGTTGCGACGATGGTAAATCTTGTGACTATGGAAATGATGACACGGTTTGTATAAATTCCCAAAGAAATTTGAAAAGTTCGTTCAGACCACAACAACCTCTACAACTTCAACAACAAGAGCAGCAACAACTACAAAAGCCTTCATAACTCCTAGACCATCAACCTCAACAATCAGAGCAACCACAAAAGCAACCACAATCATCACTAGCACTACAAAACCCCACAACCCTTGGGCCCCTGGATGCCCCGCCAACTCTACAACTGGCTTGGGCGATTCTGATGGTTATGGAACTAAAAACTGTGTGGGCTTTGATTCTAATGGAAAATGGAGAGATCAGGCATGTGAGAGGCCTGGGAAGGGCATCATCTGCAAGAAGCCATGTATCCCACCAGTTGGCTCTTGAAGGGATGGAAGAAAGGAATCATTTTATGAAAAAATTGATATATTAAAATTTAATTAAACACACTTTTAAATTGATATTTGTGTGTTAAATGCATAAAATGGCAAAAAATCTTTGATATAAATCTAATAATCGACAGCAAATTTCTGATACTCGTAAAATTATCTTTTACTATGGAGATACTATCCAAAGATTTCGTGTTGGATTAAAAAGACCCATAAATTAGATAGTTTTATTATACCAAGGCTTTATTTTGAGCTTCATTTTCTATGGCAAGAATGTTTCTCCTAAGAAGAAATATTTACAATGGGTACACCCCAATGTACCGCGTGCCCAACGTACCGCATAGCTAAAATTTTGTTCAAAATGGTCGAATCCGGGTAATTCTGGTATGGTCCGACTCAGCTCGTTGAGATGCATAGAAGCATACCAGAGTTCCTGGATCCGACCATCTTAACTCTTACAGCTCGGCAGCAAGTTGACCTTGTCTCTTTTAAAATGTAATATTTAATGTAATTTCCAAAAATTTCTTTTCCTTAGGTCTAAAATTTTCAAATTTCATTACTTTATTTCAATATTAGGTATATTAAAATTTAATAGAATTTTAAAATTAACGTGGAAAATTCTTTAAAATAATTCGAGATAATCACTTTTTAAAATTATATTTTCGACTTAAAACCCTCCAAAGTTCCATTAAATATCTCTCAATATTTTATTCAACATTTACAGTCCAAGGTTGTTTTGGGGTATTAATTAAATTCTTGTGAGATGTAAGTAATGTGACTTGAGTTCCTGGCTTAGTTTTGAACTTTCTCCAATAAAAAACTCCGCAAATTGCTAATTCTAGTGACAATGTTAAATACGATAATTCACCAGTATATACTGACAGAGAATATCCCGTTATCTATAAAATAATTTATAAATACAATTCGAGTATTTTCTAAATAGAAATATAATTCGCACACTTAATAACTAGTATCATTAATTTATACCCTGGGATAAATTAAATACCCCATATGTTTACGCCCCATAACCTTACGTTAACCATTCTGAACCTGTTTATCTTGGCTCAGAATCAAGATATCGAGCTGATTTTGGTGTCATTCGACTCAGCTCGTGGAGCTCTTTCGAATCGAATTTAAAATTGAACAAAAAATCTAATTTTTCACCCGAAATTGAGCTTACTTCCTTTTAAGGTTTTCTTTTATGGGGACCTATATCTCGGTCCACGGGCATCCCGGGAAAAAAGAGTAGTCGCTCGACTCAGC